ACAAGGGAATCACTGAATCCTTTAATAACAGGAATCCACCCACCGAAAATATGAGCCCAGAGTCTTTTTTAGATACATCTTCAGTAACTTTTATATTTCATTTCTTGATTTTTAGCCAGTTCCAGTATTTACTTATGAGTAAATTATGGTGATGTACATTTTTCCAGGAAGTAGTTCATATCTTAGTGTCAGATGGACTGACAGTGGGTAACATCTTGTATTTTTTAAATAACTGTTCTCTTTACTCATTGTCTTTAAATTTTTCAGGTACACTTTTCATTATTTAAAAAAAAATCTCTTAGATTCTAATTTTGATTTTGTCAGTTAATTTATTTCCACATTCATCTTTATCCTTTCTTCCCATACACTTTTCTTAATGTTACATTTTTAACCTTCTTTGGCTGCATCTTTAGCATATAACAGACATCCAGAGTATACTGAATTAATTGAACCTTCAAAGGCTTGAAGTGGAGATAAATGAAAAGGATGGGCTCAAAAAATTATAGAAGCAGAATAAAATGTGGCAAAGCAGTTTTGGGGTAGAGAGGAGTTAAGGGTGAACCCGAGGTTCTGGCTCAGGTAAGTTCTACGAGTATGTTCTCTCAAAATTCTTATGTTGAAGCCTTAACCCCAATGTGACTGTATTTGGAGATAAGCCTTTAAAGAGGAAATTAAGGTTAAATGAAGCCATAAAGGTGGGGCTCTAATCCAATATGACGTGTCCTTATAAGAGGAAGAGACACCAGGGATGTACATGCAGAGAAAAGGTCAAGTGAGGACACAGTGAGAAGGCGGCCGTCCGTAAGGAGCCAGGCTCCAGCTAAGACAAGCCTGTCCATACCGTGATCTTGGACTTACAGCCCCCAGTAATGTAAGGAAATAAATACCTGCTGTTTAAATCCCCTAGTTTGTGGTATTTTATCATAGAGCAGTCCTACAAATATACTTGGTGAGTGGTAGACACGATTTACCGAGTAGACATGGGAGATGGCAAGTAGAGATGCCCAGCTGGCTACTGACTATTCAGGTTGGCAGAATAAGCCAGAGATGGAGATGTGGGTGTTATATATGGAAGTGGAGCCATGGGAGTGAACCATATAACCTATGGAGAATGTACAGAAGTGACAGGTTACAATGGAACCCTAGTAAACACCTCCAACTGGACTCTAAAGAGAGAGATACCCCTGAAGAAATTTTAGAATAGGCGGAGAAACAAAAGGAAAATCTAGAGACTGGCACCATGAAAACTATGAGGATGCCTACAGAAGTGGGCTCACTAGTGCCACTTGTAATGTAAAGATCAAACCAGATAAAAGACTGAAAACCAAGCTGGAGATCAAGATCTCGTTAACAAGAAAGTCATCAGTGGAAGGTTGACAGTAGGAGTCATCTGGCCAAGAATTTAGGTGTGGGTGAGGAAATAGAGACAGAAGTGGTAGACAACTCTTGAGCTTATTAAAGAAGAAAAGGGGCTGGAAAGGGACATCAGGTCCAGGGAGGACTTCATCAATATGTAACATCACATGCAGCCATTAGAGGAGAGGCGAAGGCTGCGGAAGTGAACACTCTTGGGAGAAAAGAAAGGGTGGATCAACACCGCACAGGGGGACGAATTACACTCAGAGGTAAGAACAGATCCTTCTCCGCTGTGGTAAGAACAGAAGAACAGAAGGCTGGATACAGAGGATCCTGTCAGGTGGAAGACAAGAAACAGGGTTTCCCCACCCAGTGTCTTCTATTTGCACTGTGAAGAAGGGAAATACAGTCATCCACTCAGAGTGAGAATGAGAGGGTAAAATGTTTAAGGAGAATGGTAATACTTTGCAACTGCTGTAGGGAATGGATGACAGCTGACTAGGGACATATGATGGGATGGCTCAACAGCTCCGAGGACCCAGGTAAGTTCAGAGATGACAAATGTGTGGTGGCACCACCCTGCAGCTGTGCGATTACTCCAGCAGCTGGATGAGGTGTTGGATGAGGCTCGTCTCTAGATTTTCCTTGTTTTTCTGCCTACCTGAATTTCTTCAGGGGCATCTCTTCCACCTAGAATCCTGCTGGAAGTGTTTGCTGGAGTTCCACTGTGACCTTCCTGTTTTACTTCTGTACATTCTCCATAGTTTCATGATTTGCACCCACGGCTCCACTTATTTCCTTTGACTCACAACTTTGGAAAGGTAATAACTGGAAGAAACTACAGTGGGGTTTTGCTGAGGAAAACATAGAGGACAGGCATAAATGACCCAGGAAGAGCTGAGCGGCCTCCTCTGCTGCCCTATCACTTACCTCCTTGTGGGTTTCACCCTTAACCAAGAACAATTCTCATCCCTAATAGACACATTTCCTTCTTGTAATAAAGACTTTCTTAACACGCACATTGACCTCATGTCCTAACAGACATAAGTTTGAAAGATTCATTTAATGCCCTCAGGGTGATGTAAAATGAGACAGAATAAAAAATGTATTTCAATCTGTAAATCTCAAGCATAAGTACAAGAAAAGACTTAATGAACTAGTCAGATGCTCACACAATACACAGAACCCCCAGGAAGACAGGTCCAATCACAGACCAGCCAAGGGATGCTACACTTGAAACTCAAATACATGAGTAGTGTGACAGTTCAGGTCCAGTAAAAATCAACGAGTTGCTGCATTAAAAAATTGTTTGACATCTCCAGCTCTGCTAGAGTAGCTTTTACTCTGACACTAAAGAACTGGAACGTGGTTTGATTCCACACTACTCAGAGAATCAGAGGTAGAGCGAAGAGTGAATCTTTAAAACACCACAAGCTGTTTATCACCTTAGCTCCTTTGGTTGCCGCCCATTTCCTATGATGCGCAAGTTTGGTGGGGGCTATGCTACTTACTATCAGGGCGGTCATCTCGGGTCTGGAATATAAAAACAGCCTGTAAAAGGGGCTCTGACCACTCCCTAATGCTACCCATTAGGAACTATTATGCCTCTCACCTGGACAGACAGTAAGGAGGACCAGAGACAACTTCAGGAGGCAGATAGCTTGGGATTAAGAATGTGGCTAGAGTCAGACAGGCACTACCACCGAGCTAATTCTGTTTAATACTGCAGTGTCTCCTTCCTGACCTAAGATGTTTCCCTGTTCATGAGGATACCTCTTCTGAACACTGTATTTTTTTTAAAACACATAGGCACATGTCAGACACATGAGCCAGATGGAAAAATGCAGAGCTTGGCAGGCCTCTTACCAGAGTTCCAACAGAGCAACTGCCACAGTTCCTGGAGCCTCACCCCACACTCTGCTTCCCCATAAAGTGACTGAGTGGGTTTGGGGAGCAGAGCCTGTGGTGTGTTGGGTGTCAGTAGCAGCAGGCTGAGCCCTCAGAGGAACAAGCAGATAGACGGGTGCCAAGGGTCAGTTTGGGAAGCAGACTCTAAAAGAGAATGTAACACAGAGAAGATGGCAGGAGGGACAGTCAGAAGATCCAGGAGTCTTACCACTGGGGACTCTGAGCTTCCACTTGGTCCTAAGTAACCTGAGGATGACTATACGACTACTTACCCTTACCAATCTCAGAAGACTGTTTGGTGGGAGGGATTCAATGGCTTACTGCGCATGAAGACACTTCGTAGTGTACTTTACCAATGTGTTATTTATCGTCATTACTATTTTTAAGGAAGCAGAACCACTGGGAGATAAACCTAAAACTCCTCAGAGCCAAGAAGCTGTCAAACAAATGGTCCCACATTTCATACAAGTCAAACCACACTTCCTAGCCCACTCACAAGTGGGAAAGACAAGGATGAAAGAGCACTTTCCACCAGCGTGAGTACCTGTTTTGGGTCTAGAAAAAATATGTGGAAAAACCTATAAGGCTAGGAGTTGTTTTTGAGAAATACAATGTTTCCAAAAATTTCCCCCACATGTATTTCACTGGCTGTTACCAAAAAGGCTTTGGTGTGAAATGAGTGTGGGAACAGGCTTCTTCATCCAGGCCTTCTCTGAGATCTCAGTAATGAATTTCCAATGAGGATACAGGATGCAGGGTGCGCCAAATTTATTTAACAACAGAACCCCTTTTCCACAGAGCATCTGTCAAGTCTCATGAAACATACTTTGGGACTTAAACTCTACAGTTGGGCATAGTGTTATGCGGGCACATGGACCAGTGGAAAAGGGCAATGAGAATACTTTGTTGACATTTAATCAATGGTTTGGCAGGCCTCTTACCAGAGTTCCAACAGAGCAACTGCCACAGTTCCTGGAGCCTCACCCCACACTCTGCTTCCCCATAAAGTGACTGAGTGGGTTTGGGGAGCAGAGCCTGTGGTGTGTTGGGTGTCAGTAGCAGCAGGCTGAGCCCTCAGAGGAACAAGCAGATAGACAGGTGCCAAGGGTCAGTTTGGGAAGCAGACTCTAAAAGAGAATGTAACACAGAGAAGATGGCAGGAGGGACAGTCAGAAGATCCAGGAGTCTTACCACTGGGGACTCTGAGCTTCCACTTGGTCCTAAGTAACCTGAGGATGACTATACGACTACTTACCCTTACCAATCTCAGAAGACTGTTTGGTGGGAGGGATTCAATGGCTTACTGCGCATGAAGACACTTCGTAGTGTACTTTACCAATGTGTTATTTATCGTCATTACTATTTTTAAGGAAGCAGAACCACTGGGAGATAAACCTAAAACTCCTCAGAGCCAAGAAGCTGTCAAACAAATGGTCCCACATTTCATACAAGTCAAACCACACTTCCTAGCCCACTCACAAGTGGGAAAGACAAGGATGAAAGAGCACTTTCCACCAGCGTGAGTACCTGTTTTGGGTCTAGAAAAAATATGTGGAAAAACCTATAAGGCTAGGAGTTGTTTTTGAGAAATACAATGTTTCCAAAAATTTCCCCCACATGTATTTCACTGGCTGTTACCAAAAAGGCTTTGGTGTGAAATGAGTGTGGGAACAGGCTTCTTCATCCAGGCCTTCTCTGAGATCTCAGTAATGAATTTCCAATGAGGATACAGGATGCAGGGTGCGCCAAATTTATTTAACAACAGAACCCCTTTTCCACAGAGCATCTGTCAAGTCTCATGAAACATACTTTGGGACTTAAACTCTACAGTTGGGCATAGTGTTATGCGGGCACATGGACCAGTGGAAAAGGGCAATGAGAATACTTTGTTGACATTTAATCAATGGCAGGCAGCTGCTGGACATTTTGGAAAAAGAAGAAATCTATTTTGTAACCATAGTACTGAAACAGCTTCACATTTTCTCTGAATCACCCAAATACCAACCCCTAAAGATCCAGCAGCTATGCAAGCCCGCACTCCAGTCTCATACATTAACTCTATGCTTTTATTTTTTGTTGTAAAATGTGCTTTGTCTCTCAATGAACTTTCTAGTGTCAGCCGAGGACCTCCACCTCCCCTTTAAGAAAACACCCCACCACACGCACACATACACACATGCCACCCTTCAACCAGGTGAAAACTCCCCAGTGATTTTTCTGTAACAAATATCAACACGAGGGGGGAAAAAGCACGTTGAAATGTATTAGAATCAGAACCTGTACAAAAAAAAAAATTAAAATATAACCTGAAACTGTTCAAATTCGGGAAGGCTAGTCAGGTCCTTTTCTCTTGCCAGGAGAACGCCATCATCGGGCGGCTCTGGGTCACCAGCCAAGGAGGGGTGGAAAGAGAGACATAGAAGCAGCAACAGGTCCTTTCCAGACAGAGCGGCTTCAGCACCACCATCCCCACTGTGGAGGCAGCCGGGAGGAATTAAAGATCTTAGGAGAGCAGATGTTGGCAGACAGCCCCAGTGGGCAGCTGGGACCTTCACACCGAAAACCAGTCTGAGCGGTCAGAGGCAGCTCGAAGCGCGGCCAACAAGAACACCAAGCCGGAAGAAACTTCTGCCACCCAGCAGACCCACAGCGCCCCGGACTGGTGCTCAGGTACCGGAGGTTAGTCAACCCAGCACTCTCAACTAATGAGAGATGGGAGCTGGGCCTAAGAGGCTGAAAACCCGCAGGTTTAGTAAACATAGCCCAGCATCACATCCCTCCATGCTCTGATCAGACGCTGCCAACAGAGGTAAGGCAGGGGAGGGAAAATGAAGCATTCTGATACCTGGCTAGAGAGTGCCCGTACCATTGTGGGTACTGCAGAACCTAGGGCTGGAGAAGGCATGCTCCCCACCCTCACTCAGAGAGGAGCTTCCTTCGCAGTCATCCCTGCAGGCCAGGTAAAGCTGCCTCCAGCTTATGACCAGCCTCACAAAATGACAGGGAGCAAAAGAAAACCTGGGAGGGAGACAAGCCCTTAAACAGAGACAAGAACCTCCTCGCGGGAAGCTGGGCAGTGTCTGACCCTGCTGGGATGGCATCAGTGGAGCCCCTGAGTCTGAAGGAACAACTGGGGAAGGAGGGAGTGGGTGAGGCCAAGGAGTTAACGGTTCTTCTGGAACAGTACCAGCAGGGTGGAGGCGCTGGTGAGGGGGTGGGCAGGTCTGGAACTCACTGAAGGTAGAGAGGGGAGGAAACAGGCCCTTGGTGTCGCCTCCCCACCTGACCCAGGCAGGCCTGGTGAGTGCCAGCTGCCCCAGCCAGCCCTAGTGGCGGCTGGAGACCAGACCTTTCACTTTGGACATCTTCTTGGTGGGCTGCCTCTGCTCAGCATGAGGGGGACACTCGCGTTCAGCTAACTGTTGCTCCATTTCCTGAGCTGAGGAGGATGCGGTGGCTTTGAGTGTCTTCTTGATGTTGGTAACCTGGAGGGAGATACAGAATTGGTTGCTCAGCTGTAAGCACGAGACACTCACCAAAACTTACTCTCACTCTAATGAGGGCCACGTAGGGAAAGGCCAGCAGAAACCTCTGCAAGAAAATCTGAGATTATCTTCAGAAACCCGGATGAGAAGAAACAAGCAGGGGCTACTCATGGACTATATGAGGAAATGAGTCAAGCAAAACAATGGAATTAATGTTTTCTTGGTTGAAAAGATGGAATAAGCCAAGAGAAATGGACCATTTGGCAAAGAGGCACAACACATCAGGTGAAGAAAACACTAGTCGAAATTGCATTAGAAAAAGAAATAGCTCCTATATCTGCAATATGCCATACAAGGACAGGTTCTATAGTACAGAAGAGGACACACACAGGAATAGGTATTATAGGGCTGACGAGCACATGCATGGGAACAGCTGCTACAGTACAGAAGACACGAGCACATGCACGGGAATAGGTACCACAGTACTGAAGAGCACACACAGGAATACCATACAAATACAGTTTATAAGGATGCTATACTCAGCTAACGGTGGTTCATGTATGAAATTACAAAAATGTCACAAGAACTTCAGAAATCCAGCTCCATGAGCCCTTCACGAATAAAGAGAATGAACTTCAGCCAACTAAGTGATAAATGATGAGAACGGAGTAAAATAACTGGCAAAATGCAATCACACTGTTTTCAGCACACCATTCCTCACTTAACAAAAGAGAGAGCCTCAAAACACTTAAGCAACTCGTGAACATTTCTCCATGTCAGAACGCACATCCTCACCAACACCTGTGTACCATGCTGGGCGTTGCACCATTCTTCAATTAGCTCCCCGTTTGTTTTCACTTGCATGAAGTGCTCCCAGCTACAGCATTCTATGTTTACCTTTGCATACTTTTTGTGAACATCTGTTGACATATTCCTAGAGGTGAGCTTTCCAGACCAAAGGGTTTGCACAATTCACATCTGAGTAACTACTGCCATACTGCTTTACAAAGCGACTGTACCAACTTGTGCTTCTACCCACTACGACACCCACGCCCATTTACATATACAGTCCCCCAGTTCTAATGGACCCCTGTGCCTTTGACCTTCAGCTAGATGACAGGAAGAAAAAGAGGAGGAGAGGAAGAAGAGGAAATATTAGCTTTTTTAAAAAAAGGCGTCAGAAGAAGAAAGAAGGTTGGTGCAGACTAACATCTATGTTTGTTGATGACAATAAAGGTGCTCCCCCAGTTTGATGGCTTCCATGTCCTCGGGGATGCAGGTTTGGTTTTCTACAGAGCAAGAAGGGAGTTAGCAGGGTCAAAGGTTCTTAATAGAACATCTGGAGCTTGAGTAAGAGAAAGTTTAAATGCAGAGATGAAACAACACTGTGGACAGAAATTAGGTTCCTGGAGATCTATCATCCACAGAATGAACGTCAACTAGACTATAGGTCATTTTTTATTTTGGTTTCTGTTGTTTTGAGCTACAAGAAGAGCCATGCCCCAAACTACTGTCACCTCAATCAACACCACAACCTTTCTGAAAGGGGTGTCAACAGAAAAGCATGGGCTGGGCCTATGAATATGTAGGGCAGCCTAAGTGAAGTCTGGAATCATCCCTGTCCTGCCCGACCAAGCCCTGCTGCCTCGGACCTCAGGCACCCCACCTGCTTTGGTATCTCTTGTTCAGAAGAATTACTTGGTGAGATAGTGAGTGAAGAATCTGGAGCAAGTGGATGGTTTGCCATTTTTTTTCTTATAAAAGAGTTATTTTAGTTTGTTTTACTTTGAGGCAAATTTTGATGGCCATGGAAGAGGATTAAGAAATGTGTTATCAGTTATCACTGCTTTATAAAATAGCATTCCAAGGCTTGTCCAGTTTGATATGCTTTCTAAGTAATACGAGGAAAATTAATTGAAATCTGAATAAGAGGTCACAGGATCACTTAAGTTTATTTCTTTGCGAGTCAGTTATCTTTGACTTCAAACATGCTGAAAGATCCTGCAACTTAAAATATATAGTAGGAAAAGGAAAAACCAAGATTCATGCCTCATATTTTCAATATCTGGGAGGTTGCTTGAGGGAATTTGTTTGAAGGTTTTCCCAAAAGCTGACAAAACCTCATTTAAATAAAACATTAGAAAACTAACAAGCTTTCATTACAAGGCCTGTATTTTCAAAAGTGGTATCTTTCCAGGCAAATGATTACCTTTCCCACTGAGCAAAACAGCTTTATTACAAATAAACAAAACAAAAAAGTATAATTTCCTTAATTTCATCTTGGCTGACAAATATCACTTAACCTTATTTCCTCTAGTTCTTTGTACAATAATTTTTATTAAACAATCAGCTTGTACTACAGTGTTTTCAGTATTCTTTCATTTAATATATCTTAAATTTAGTGACAGTCTAATAATCCCTACATGATAAGGAAAAAGTAATCAATTCTCAAATAATGGTTCCATTTTCAGTCACTTGCACCTGGATTTCTGTAGATAAGTCATTACAAGCCTGGCAGAAATTAGCTGGCATTTCTCTTTATATGGTGGCCTCAGGTGACGTGGGCTAGCTTTGGAGTCCAAGTATAGTATCCATGACTGAGCTGAGAGGCCAGCTCCTGACCTGCTAGCCAGGGGAGCAGACTCTGCCCTGTGGCACATTCATCCCACATACTCCCCTCCCCCAACCAAGGCAACATTCTCGAGTCAGCCTCTCAACTGACAATCAGCTCAATTGACCCCAACTCTTTTGCTGTACATACGCTTCTTTATTTTCCCCAAAGTTCAGCACTTCCAGTTTCAGATCCTTTGTAATAACATGAAATCACTCTATCCCAGTTCCCAAGGAAGCCTGCTTACCACTCTCCTCCATGCACAGAAGGGCTGCTTGTACCTTCTGTCTATAGCATCCTTCCTGTCTATACCATCACTCCCCACCATAGGAATGCAGCTTCCCCAACTCATGGTGACTCAAGTCTATTTAAAAGCCTTTGATTCAAGATACTGTCAAAGATTTTTGGCCAAATACACAGAGGCCAACACCCTCCTCCCCCCTTCATTCAAATGCCTATTTACCTCCTTAAGCTGTTTTCCTTATAGTAACTACCCTCCCAAGAAGCTATGATTTTAGGTGCTCAGTGACTGTGGCACCTCAGTAAAAGAAACAATACCTATCCCATGGGTAAACCTGGTTCTTTCTCCATTCTGAAACACCACTCAAAATCCTGTCTCTTCCTTTCTCCTCCATGTCACACACAAGGCCTGCACTGGAGCCACACTCCCCCGCTGCGTCCTCTCAGAAGCAGTCACTTCACTTCTGCCCCCGTGCCTCCCTTGCAGCCACCCTGGCATTCCAGACTCAGCAACCCTCCTCTGACCCTACCTGGAGAGCGGGGCACCTCTTCCATACACCTGCCCTGCCTCCCCTCAACCTGTCCCCGCCTGGCAGAACCTCTCACTCCGACATGGACGGCCAAGAACACTGCTGTGGCTCCTTTGTGTTTCAGGTGTTCAAGCATAGCTTCCAGTAAGGCTGCTGACAAATATAAGCCCTCTACACCCCACAGAGGACAAAGAGAACTTCTTGTTCTTAGCCTAAGAAATGAGGCTCTGAACAAAGCCTTGGCCTGGATGGTGGAGTGAGGTGGCCCTCACACTGGGTTCTATTACAGATGTCTTGCTCAAGCCTACGGGGCTATTAGCATTTTAACACAGAGCTCACAAAGGAGATAAAAATATACTCCTGAGTCAAATATAAATGAGGAGGTGCTCTGTGATACCTGGACTTAATCATTACCTCCCCTCCAGAGCACTTGCTCAGAGATCATGAACAGCTCATAAAGTTACAGTTCTACCTTCCCCAGGTATGCTGGAATTTTAAGTAACTAATGTGTTATTTCTGAAAAAGGCTAAAGGAGAGACTACTCTTTGGCAGTTTGGTGGGACTGACTTCATTAACAGGAAGGCTCTGGAAGCTGATACTCAACAAAATAAAGCTGCTACTATAAGGTTTAGGGGAACCTTATAATAACAGCAAGTTTTTTCCTCTGAGAACAGTCTAATTTAAGGAAAAATAAAGAAAAAAACTCAGTTGAGAAAATGGTTTTAAAAAACTTGATCAAGGGTAACAGGAGAATAAATACAAGCAGAATATGACAGAATTACACCTTTGTTAACCTGGCAGGTTTGTTTTCTTTTCAAGGCAACAAATATGTCATGAGTACTTTCTATGTGCCTTAAGCTGGGGACAATCAACATCCTATACTTAGCAGCCAGATCATGCATTTACTGCGTGGAAAAACTGACAAGGCTCTGGGCTTTACCCATGCTCTCTTTCTTTCTGAAACTGGTCTGTGCCAGATTTTCTAGAAGATTGTTAAGTCAGTAGATTGTTTAATTGGGGTGAAGGTGGCCCTGTTCTTTTCCTCAACTTTTTCTCCCAACTTAAGTATTTACTGCCACCTGGTGGACCACGGCACCTGGTAGCATCAGGCTCTGCCAGCAGGGGTAACTGAAGAGCTGTTTTCTAACAGCAGACCACTGATAACAAACCCACGGGTGCTGGCTCTGTTTTTCTCCATAACTATAATTTAAAGAGCCCACACTGTTGCCTAAGTGCTGGTAATGTCTCAATATTAGTCAGTGCCTTCTTTCATCAGATGCCATTTGTCACAGGAATAAACTTGAACCATTCAAAATTCTAAAACTGGTACCACACATCTTTGCCAGTAACCACAGTCCAAGCCCACCAACTATCACACAATTAGCAACAGTCCAGACACAATGGGGCAGCTGACAGTGACTAGGTTCCTCTCAAGATATCAACCAGGTTAAAGATGGTTTGTTTCACACAGGCTACCCTGGGGTGGGGTTCAGGGGTGCATTTCATCTCCAAACCTCATTTGTTTCCAGAGTATGATTTACGGGGAAGACTCGAAGAAGAGGAAAAGAGTGGTTAGCCCTTCCTACTTTGCTCACACATCAATCCCAGGTCAGAGAAGAGGCCACAATATTCAGAGGTGGATTACACAGCTTATTAGAAAAGCAGCAGGTTTACTTTCCTAATTGTATTTACCTTTGCCAAATGCTAAATTAAAGGTAACTCACACTCGTACGGCTAGAAGGTTAAAAATTAACAATGGATTGAACATCACAGAGTAGCTATGTACACATATGTACATAGGGGCACGTGTGTGTATCTGAAATAAATTCACTTCAGCTCATGAAAAGCAGAGTTCAGCAGCTCAGCATCACACAGGGTGCGCCAGAAATCCTATAAGCAACACCTGAGCACCTACTAGGCCTTAGGCATGGGACAAGGAGCTGGTCTTACAAAGACATGGGTTTTATTTTCAAGGAGTACATATAACAGAGTAAAGGAAATCTTCAAATTTCACAAATCCCCCTTTGAAAAGCTCATCTATTTATTTCTTACATTCTTTAGCTGAAACTCTGGGCCTCATTCTGCCAGTCTCAAACACCTGCTTTATAAAACTCATTAAATACCATTAACATCTCAAGCTCAATCACACTAGAAAAAGACGTACAATGATAAAATTTTTATCTGAAGGGCTCCAAATAAAATCTAATGTTGCTCTCCAGATGTCCAGACTACAGGCACACAAACAAATGCCCATTAACTCAAAGCCTGGAGCCTCTGTCTCTCCTAGAGGCTAAAAGTGTCCTGAACAACCAGGTGTCACTGAAATTACAGACACTTTTATCTCTACTTGCATATCATTCACTGAATTTTTTCCCTTGCTTTTTTTTTTTGAGGTGTCTGTGCCACACCACTCCGTGGCCTTTGGGTCCATCCCTTGCTTTTTTAGGATGAAGTATATCATGTATTTTAAAGTTTATAAAATATATGTAACTCAGAGAAGAATAGAATGAACACTGTGCTCCCACCTCACAGCTTAAGGTACAGCAGGACCAAGGTCTTGAAGCCCAGGTGTCCCTGCCCAGCTGCTCACCTCCCTCCACCCTGCCTGGGAACCACCATCCTCCCACACATCTTTAAACTCATTTATTTTGCTCTACAGCTACACAGGGCATGTGCACTAAGGAATTACATTCTGTTCTCCAAGCCTGCACACTCGCTGGCGACCATGAATCAGAAAGGAGACAGAGGGACCTCTGCCGCACCCCTGACGGCAGGGACCACGCCACACCAGTCCTACCCCAGCATCTAGTCCGGTGCCTGTTTGCTGGTGACTGTGGTGACTACTTGTTTCACCTACACCAAGACTCAAAAGGTAGGGCACAACTGGGGAGACCCTGGAGCAGGGCACAAACTTGCCCTTCCTTACCTCTGCCTCTACCTGCTGCTGAGTTCGGCTGTGGTTCTCCTTGTACTGGTTGGCTCGCAGAACTTGCTGCTCGATGCCTAGCAGAACTGCTTCGCAGCCATCACACCTATGGAGGAGATAACCAGCCCTGAGCTGCAGAAAGGCCTGGGAGCTCTCCTCCAGCCTCAGAAATCTCCCTCCCAAACTCCTGACAGGGACTTACAACACCCCGCATGCCAAGGCTCCTATCCCTTCACTCTTTCCAAAAAGGCGTTTCTGAATATAAAACATAGGGCATTTGGAAACAAACATGGAGGATGTGGTGGGTTTCTTAGAATACAGCTTTAATTTCCAAACTTCGTACTCGGAAAGTTTTACAAAATATGTGACTAAAGGAATTAGGAAAGACTACAGGTGGCACTAGATGAATCACTTTTGGCAACAGAAAAAAAATTTTTAAAGCATCCTATGTTGAAGATCACCCCTTTTCTGAGAGTTTGTTACTTAACTGCCATTCCCCTCATTATTTCATTTTCCCACTTATTTTGAAAATTTTAAAGCCTAAAAATAAAGGTGAAAAATAATACAATGAATGCCCACATACCCTCCAGTTCACAGTCAATAGTTGTGAACATTTTGCCATATTTGTGGTATTGCTCCAAACCAATTCTGTTTTAACTCTAACTCCAATGCCCAAACACAAGTTTTAAGAATTTATACCAGTAAACATCTGGGATGGGGGTTAGGATGGCACCTCTGAATACAGGTAGACAATAGCTGTGAAAATTGTGTCAGCCATCTCAAAAAGGGAGTAAGACAGCCAACTTCAGTAGGATTGGAAACCTAGATTTTGTATGGCAGACCACTTAACATTAGTGGTTATTTTCTATGTTTATTCTGATTTAACAGCTTTACATCTTTTGAAAGAGCCTGCTTGTGTCTGAGTTGTAAAGGGAAGGTGTTTGGGGCCACACTTGGGACAGAAATTAGGGTAAGGGGTGGATAGTCATGCCTTGGGGTCCAACAGTGGCTGAGGGAAGGGAAATTCATGGTTTTGTGGACCCCTGGGTGTCAAAACTGGGCTGTTAAATCCCTGGATATACTCCTCTTAGGGATAAGCCAGAGATCCAGTCTCTTTTAAAGAAAACAATTTGCCTACCCCTCTGTACAAAGCTTGCCTGCTGTTTCAAGTCCTCCAACATGCCACATGCCCGCCTGGGCACATGCTCTCCTCACCTTCAATTATACTCTCACCCTGGCCCTCCTTCAAAATTCTGCTAAAACCTCTTCTCTGACTAAGCCCATTTGGCTTTATAAGCCCCAAATCATTTTTTTTTTTTTTTTTGAGGGCATCTCTCATATTTATTGATCAAATGGTTGTTAACAACAATAAAATTCAGTATAGGGGGGTCAACGCTCAATGTACAATCATTAATCCATCTCAAGCCTAATTCTCGTCAGTCTCCAATCTTCTGAAGCATAACGAACAAGTTCTTACATGGTGAACGAATTCTTACATAGTGAATAAATTCTTACATGGTGAACAGTACAAGGGCATTCATCACAGAAACTTTCGGTTTTGATCATGCATTATGACCTATAAACAATCAGGTCAAATATGAATATTCGTTTGATTTTTGTACTTGATTTATATGTTGATCCCACATTTCTCCTATTATTATTATTATTTTTATTTTTAATAAAATGCTGAAGTGGCAGGCAGATGCAAGATAATGGTAGAAAACATAGTTTAGTGCTGTAAGAAAGGCCCCAAATCATTTAAGTAATTCATAACCAATCCTGAAAGAATGTGAAACAGCTCTTGCAAACATCAAACTCCACTAAAATACAGAGTACATGCAAATGTCCCACTTACTTTTATATACCAGAACATGGTCATCAAATATTCTGTGTGAGTCTGTGTTCCAACTTAAAAGTAATCCTTGTCTTCAGTATCCCTCATAATGCTTTACAAACAGTAGCCCAAGGTTACTGACCATGAACGAATGTTCTTTTATCCAAAGATCTTACCAACACTACCTTCGTGAGCTTGGTCAGACTCTGAGGCTGAGTCGCAAAGCACAGGATCAGTGTCAAACAGCCAGGCTTCAGAGACCCCACCTGCCAACCCAGGGCATTTTACAGCCTGCTGCTAAATAGCCCCAGCTGCACTAGGACAGAAACTATGTCACAATCAAGGCACTATGAGGCCTGAAATGACTCCTGTTGCTACACAGTGGTAGTCACAAAAGCAGCCCCACTCTCCAGCCCCAGCTCCCAGGCAGCCCCAGCTGATACCTGGAGACCACAGTTCCCAAGCAGAGGCACAAAGGGCATGCTAGATATCCCCCTCCCTAAAGAGAGGGACCCGGCCACCTTCCAGCCTCACCATTCATGCAAGGTCTTGACAATATTACTGATATCCTTCTTTCGGATGTCACGGCCAATGCAGAAATCCACTTCCAGAAGCTGGTTGCGCTGGTCCAGCTTGCCCTGGATGATGTCAGTGTAGACAGCCTCAATGATGAGGTCTTCTAATTCCCGGAGATTCCGCATTTCCAAGTCCTTCAGCAGCACGGAGTAGGGGATACACTGTAGAAAGGGCCACGTCATATTCACAACAAACAGTGGCAAACATTAAAGAAAATGCAGGTATTATCGAGATACCAACAGCTGCCTCAGGCTTTGGGAAATGCAGTCAAGTGGTGATTACTAACATCTGTTGCAACAAGAGCTGGATAAATGAGCCGTGACCCACAGCACGTAGGAGTGCATTTTCCTAGAGATGCTCTGCCTCCTGGTTTTGCCCAGCCTTAAGCATTTAGACTGTGAAGCATACTCCTAGAGATCCTAGTGACTCTTCCTGGAGGATAAAGAAATACTCAGTGTATGTCATTTTGCCACCTTTTGGAAGCTTGCAGACTTTGCATAAAATTCCACATCATCACAAAACTCCAAACAATCTCAGATACTGGAAAGGAGTATTGACTGTTTGCCCAGCAGAGTGCAAGCAGAAAAACTTACAGGCTAACATACCCACCTACAGGTGGCCAGTGGGTACTGCCAGCTCAGAGATCTTCCTGGAGTTTGTATCTTTCTCAGAATCTTGCAACCAGTATCAATTCCCCAACAATAGCCTTTATTGTGCTGTACCAACATTTTGCATTTACCCAAAACAACTGGATATCTAAATGTCAAGATTTCTGCAAACCCTCTGACACATCACTATTAGCTCAGAAATTAACACAGCAACCAAATCTGCAGAAATAGAGGATGAAGATGCACATGGAGAAGAGAGTAATAGAAAACATACCTAGAGGGGTTTTCTGTGACCAAAGAAATCCAGGGGTGGTAGATGGGCTTTAATGACAGGTTGCAAAATGAGGGGTAAAGTTACTCCTATTCTTTGCCACACTTGAGAAATCCATGATCAGGACAAAAAAAAAAAGCCAGATTTTCATTTCCTAACATAATAGGCCTCCCACCTGAAATGTCAGGCTGAGAATCAGAAGTTTGTGATTAGAACAGGTAAATGGATTTCATCAACTGAAATGACAATCCAAGAATAAATACACATTTCTACAAGCTCAATCAAAGATGAGAAATGCAAAAAAGCAAACTTTTTTTCAAAGGCACAGCCCTACAAAAACTTTGACAATTAGGCTAGGATTGGGCAGAATGGCAAAATTAACTATAAATTAATCAAATCTGAATATTCTTTGTTAATGGTTTTGAGAAGCTGGCTGAGAAGCTTCTTCCAAATCAAGTGGGGCAGAAAACTCAAAGATACAGTGGAGTGGTCTCTCGCAGAAGGTTAGGGTCTAAAGTTAGCATATATGGCAAAAATTCTGCTTAGTATAATTAGCCTTGAAAATCCCCAGAGGAAGGCAGCAGATTAAACATCTACCTCTCATTATGCCCAACACAGCAAGTGTTTCCTCCAGCATTGGCACAGTTCACTGTTGCACTGAGCAACAGATGTAGTGGTTAACTCGCCTTGAGATACCTTGCTGTTTGAAAAATACGCATCTTCAAGCAGCATGGCAAAACGCTCCCGCCATGGGAGGCACCACGGCGGCCAGAACTGAGACCTGCTGATTCATACTCACTCCTGGGCATACTTTTGCTGTATGGAATGATGAGTAGTTATCTACATTATTTTGTTATCTTTTTCGCTTTTGTCCTTTGCCAAGCAAATTGTATGCATTTATGATGTAATACTATGTGCTGGCAGTTCCCATGCTGATGCCAATGAGACCCCTACCTTCGGGTGGGGAGGAAGACAGGAGAGGTTTGGGGCTGTACCTTCATTCTGGACGCCAAGCTCACGATGGTAAGGTGCTTCAGCTTGTTCTGCTGGACTGTGCTCAGTTCTGGCAGGCTCTCCTTGTTGGCTGCTCCATCCCACCCACCACAAAAATCAAGACAAAAAGCACAGTTAGGATTTCTTTATGAAACAAGCTCACCAACTCCCCACACCAAATTTACTACTGAATCACTGTCCTGACTCTGCACTTACTCATTAGACAAATATTCCACAAACACCTCCTGTCTTCTTTGGATGACCATGGGATACCAAAGAAAAGCCTCAGTCTCTACACACAAGCTGAGTTTCCTGAAAAGCCAGGCGTGAATGCCCAAAATGGTATGACAAGTATTTTAACGGAATACTATTTTTGCTCTTTGTGACATTCAATTAAGTTCAACATATCTTCACTGGGCATCTGATATGTGCAAAGCATGATCTTAAGTGATTCAGGATAATCAAGGGTAAATAAGATGGGCCTTGCCAGGGCTGCTGTGCTACACAACTCCAGGGGCACCAATTGCCCAGAGTTTGCAACTCAATGGCCTTAGACCTGTCCTCAGTCTTATAATCAGATGCTTTAACAATTACAAATTCAAGACAGAAACTACCAGAAGAAAGGTTCACATACCAGAAGACAGCAAGAGGGTTAGGAGGAGAATAGGAAAACAAGGAGAGAAGGGAAAAGGGAGACAGGGAGACAGGACGACAGACAGAGAGGGGGAAACGGAGAAAGGGGTACAGGCAGAGTAGGGAAAGGGAGAGGGCAAGTGAGCGCAATCACATTGGGAGATATAGGAGAGGAAAAGAAACTTGGGGTTTAAGATGAGCCTTAAAGGATGAGCAAAATTTTATTGACAATGATGGTAACAGCAACAGCAGCAGCTGGTCACATGTACATACACACATCCAGTTAGTCCTCACAACAACCCCACAAGATAGATTCCAGATGTCTTCAATTCCTTATCCATACATGGATTCCAAAAAGGTGAATCCAACTTGATTTTTTTCTATAGCATTGTGCTCAAATCAATCTGGGGGCAATTCCTGACCTGAACTGAGGCAGGCTTTTTATCCTACTTGTGAATATTAATTTGTTTTGCTGTAAAACATGAATGTGTTTGACTATAGGCGTTGTCCACACTCCTCAAGGGTGTTATTTTAAAAGGTATGTGTATTTACCACAATATAGGTAGGTCACAGGGAAGGCAGTAGAGCACGGAGAAGACAAGTAATGTCTCTATAGCATCTTACTGAGCTGACAGGCAGTGACTGCAATAGGGGGCCAGTAAGGACTTGATAATATGTGTGAATGTTGAAAACACAATGTTGTTAATATGAAAACTTCGTAAGATTGTATATCAAAGAAACTTTTAAATTTTTTTTAAAAGGCACTCTTTCTAACTTTAATAAAACTACTATTAACAATTAAAAAAAAAGGTATATGCATATCACCTTTTTAAAGTCTCCAGAATTCTTCTAAATTGTGAAAAATCTAGCCTAAGGAATGCAAGTAAAGGATTGTGAACTTGTATTATTACTATTTTACAGACAAGGGGACTGAAGTATGGAAGTTTATTTTATTTGCCAAAGGGCACACAACTAGTAGAAGTGGAGCTAAAACACAATGCAGGCAGTCTGGTTCAGAGTCTGGAATGTTCTCTTTAGTGAGGATGGGAACAGAGTTGATGCTCACTGGAACAAAGTGAAGGTCAGAAAAATTAGCAAGTGGCAAATTGTCCAGTCTGAAACAGCACAGAGTAAGAAGTGACCAGCGGGAAAGCTGGTACAACAGAAGTCCGGGATATGGCAGGGAATGCCCTGAGTCATAGCACCGAAATGAACTGCCAGGCCTCCGTCATCCACTAAAATGAACTAGGGAGCCAGGCAGAAATGGCTTGGGTAGAAGGTAATGTTTGGACATGCATGCACCTCATTACTGATATTTAAGATTTGAATTTAAAACTCAACCTATGAAAGAGAATGGGCTAAATAAATTATAGAGTATTCAATTATGGAATATTAAAAATGACTACAAAGATTTTAAAAATGGAAAAATGCCTATGAAATAAGTGAAAAAAGATAGAAAATTTATATATAACATAATTACAACTACATTAATAGTAAGCACAAGGGGGAAAAGTCCAGCACCAAATGTTAACAAGAGTTTAATGGGGGGACAACTATGAGCAACTTTTTTCCTGTTTTCTAAATTTTCTTCAATATAGTGATATTACTTTGATAATATTTCAAACACTGAAATACTTCTGACATTTCACAACATTCCAAGTGTTCTACACCAGTCCTCAAGAATCTCACCTGGAAATAAATAAGGGCTGTGTTTGTGAATAAGCATAAACATAGTCCCCATGTGACCCACTGAGAAATAAAAGGTGAGAAGGGAAAGCCCTCACGAGGTCACCTACAGAGCACAGTATACACACACACACACACACACACATACATACATACATACATACATAAATACACAAAGCAGTTAAAAGCAGTCCAGGTTTTCTCAGGATTCCCTCACCATTAAAACAAAGACTGGAGCAGCCCTGTCCACCCACCAGCTTGAGAGAGTCAGCACGAGTTACTACCAATCCAAACTGAATATAGAGTGTAGCGTTGGTTCCAAGTTTCAGGACTACTGTACACCATGAACACTGGGAAAGATCAGCACAGCAAAAGGTGTCATGAAAGCCCATCTAGGACAGGAAACTCCCAAAGCAGGCAGCCCCAAATAAAAATTTTCACAGAAATTACTTATTTCTCACTAGTACTAGCTAATGGCAAAGAGTCATCTCTAGAAGAAAAAGGAAAGAGGTACTGCCCAGCACTGATCTGCTCTGCTGTCATTTACCTTAACTGGGTGTTTCTTTTACTCACAAATATGTACCTGTTACTCTTCCAATTTTCCAAACTCAGTAAAGTCTAAACAGGAAGAGCCAAGTGGTATTCTGTGGACATCAACAGTAATACTACTGAATTTTAACCATCGTTTAAAAAGATTCCAAGAACTACATCTGTAATAGATCACAGAAAAGGTGACTAACTTATTCCCAGCTCATGTATAGAAAAAAACAAGCTGTGGGGAGATAAAGGTGATTTGCTAAGCACCCCAATGAGAAGCCTGGCATCCTAGTACCCCAGTCTACCCTCTCAGGTCATCAAGAACCTCCTGAAGCCCCGAATCACAGGTGGAAGAGACCACCCAATCTAGCCCCCACTTTTCAGATAGACAATTACAAAACTAGCTGTAAAAGACTATCTTCTCTAGAACAGATATGCCAAAACTTCTCACACTGGCCTAAATCAGTAAGGTCTTTCTGGCTTTAATTTTCATCCATCTCTTAGCCAATCTTCCACAGCAATAAAACAACTACTTCACATATTCATTCAGGCTCTTCATGAACCTGAAGGAACGTATTACCCCCTGGTCATCTCTTCTGCTGAAAAACAATGAGCTATCAAGCCATGAAAAGACATGGAGGAAATTTAAAGGCATACTACTAAATGAAAGAAACGCACCTGAAAAAGCTACATATTGCAAGATTCCATGACATTCTGGAAAAGTCAAAATTATGAAAATAGGAAAAAGATCAGTGACTGCCAAGGATCTGAGGGGAGAGAAGGATGAACAAGTAGAACACAGTGGATTTTTAGGGCAGATAAACTACCCTGTATGATACTATAATAGTGGATACATGTTGGACTAACAGTTACCAAAGGGAAAGGGACTGGCAAGGATGGGTGGGAAGGGAGGGATAAGGGGGAAAAGGGGGCATTACGATTAGCACACATAATGTAGAGGAGGGGGGTGGGCACAGAGAAGGCAGTACAACACAGAAAAGACAAATAGTGATTCTATTGCATCTTACCACGCAGATGGACAGTGACTGTAATGGGGTATATGTGGGGACTTGATATTGCGGGAGTCTAGTAACCATAATGTTGCTCATGTAATTGTACATTAACGATACCAAAATAAACATAGTGGATATATGTATTATACATTTGTCCAAACCCACTGAATGTACAACACCAAGAGCGAACACTAGTGTAAACTATGGTCTTTGGGTGAAAATGATGGGGCAATGAGGTTCCACACCAGCGGGGATGTTGGTAATGGGCAATGCTACATATGTAGGAGGGGAAGGGGACTACTGGAAATCTCTGTGCCTTCTTCTCCATTTTGCTGTGAATCTAAAACTGCTCTAAAATGAAAGTCTTGCAAGATTCCATGACATTCTGGAAAAGTCAAAATTATGAAAATAGGAAAAAGATCAGTGACTGCCAAGGATCTGAGGGGAGAGAAGGATGAACAAGTAGAACACAGTGGATTTTTAGGGCAGATAAACTACCCTGTATGATACTATAATAGTGGATACATGTTGGACTAACAGTTACCAAAGGGAAAGGGACTGGCAAGGATGGGTGGGAAGGGAGGGATAAGGGGGAAAAGGGGGCATTACGATTAGCACACATAATGTAGAGGAGGGGGGTGGGCACAGAGAAGGCAGTACAACACAGAAAAGACAAATAGTGATTCTATTGCATCTTACCACGCAGATGGACAGTGACTGTAATGGGGTATATGTGGGGACTTGATATTGCGGGAGTCTAGTAACCATAATGTTGCTCATGTAATTGTACATTAACGATACCAAAATAAAAAAACATAGTGGATATATGTATTATACATTTGTCCAAACCCACTGAATGTACAACACCAAGAGCGAACACTAGTGTAAACTATGGTCTTTGGGTGAAAATGATGGGGCAATGAGGTTCCACACCAGCGGGGATGTTGGTAATGGGCAATGCTACATATGTAGGAGGGGAAGGGGACTACTGGAAATCTCTGTGCCTTCTTCTCCATTTTGCTGTGAATCTAAAACTGCTCTAAAATGAAAGTCTCTTTTAAAAAAATGAATCCAATTTCTTAAATTTTCTTCACAGGATTCCTTTTCCATCTCCGGTAAATTAAATTTTTACTAAAAGCCCACTGTGTCAGGCTACATATTAAGCTCTAAGGAAACAATGGTGAGCACAACAGACCTTACCCTCAAAGAGCTCACAGTCTAGCAAGCAAGTCTGACATTAAATAAAAATTCACAATTAAAAAATAAAAGTGGCTCTTTCTGTCTCCAGCTGTTGCAGAGAGAAGAGATGATAACGTGTCCACACATCTGCAATGGGTGATCATGGGGAATTGCTCCTATTTCCTGATCAAGAGGAATAGGCAGATAGATGTATAGCAGCAAGTCCAATAACCTGAAGGCTTACAACTCCTTCTGCTACAAGGGACTGATCCACCACAGGGCTGTAGGCATGAAGCCAGCAGCCGATGACAAAGGTGTCCTAGTGGTCATGAGTGAAGAACCAGCCAGTAAAAGCCAGCCACCTACCATGTGTGTGAACCAACATGAACAGGGATACCCAGACCACCCTCAGCAGCAGCACACCCATGATCCACCAGAGCAAGTACTGCTCAGGGCTGCACATGGTGTCCATCCACAGAGCTGGCACAATCCTCGGCAGCCAAAGAGAAGCTCTGATGGTGAAAAGGAAGCATAACCACCTCATCATGAGCTGCTGAGGACAACCCCCAAAGTAATAAAGATGTCACCAGACTTTCCAATCAATCAATATAAAAACATCAATCGATCAATATACAAGAATTCAAAGTGAGAAGTAATGTTTGAAAAATATAAGTTGTGTCACATACTTCTTCTACCTGGTCATTCTTCACCAGATCTTTTCATTTTTAAGACACAACAACCAAAATTAAGTACCCAAAGTTTTAATAACAGACAATCAAAGCAAAAAGACTATGTCCCAGCTTTTCATGTATCTTTTTTACACATCTACTTCAGCACAACATTGCCCTTTTACACTGTCCAATCCATTCCTTATTCATGCCCATCTCACGTTCAATAGCAATCTTTTTCTGCTAAGTATGTACCTGTCTGATCTTATCTATATTTGCACCAGAGGCTTTTTCCTGTCCCTAAGAATGCCTGAAACTACCCCTGTTAAACATCAGTCCATACTTCTACTCTGCTTTTCTAATTCATCAGGTTCAACTGGATTTTTCCCCTGTATTTCACATTATTAGCAACTCACCCCAATTTTGCCCCAAGTTCTGATGAAAATACTGACTAGAAGGAGCCCAGATCATCCTTGCTTTTTTCTCCCCTGCCCACGAATTCCCATCCCTTCCTCAACAAGTCACTTCATAGGTCCACAATGCTTCAGCACTGAAATTCCTTGGAAACCTGGAGAATCACAACGTTTAGAACAAGATAAATTGTTTGAAGACTGCTCTTACCTCCTGCACATTGGCCAACTCCAGCAGTTCTCCAAAGACATACACTCCAGGAGCCTCCAAGACTTGGCTTATAAGAGTAGTGAGAGCTGAGCCACTAGTACCTTTGGCTAGCAAAATAAACTGTTCCAGGAGGTTACTTGAAGGTTTCTGTTCACCTGCCATTCTCCAACCTTGAGATCTGTCCAAAAGAAAAGTGTTTCAGTCATTCTTCCTTCTCCAAAGTCTATGGTTATGTAATGCTGGATCAGACATCAGTATACTTAAGTTTTAAGTATTCAAAAAAGAAAAAACAGCTCCTGAGTCCAGATGCTATGACCACTTTATGAGGTGGGTAGGATTCAACCTGGAGTTAAACGGATTCTGTCCTTTTCCTGAGGTTTAAAACACAGTATAAGCCATTTCATCCCCATCTGACGACACTCCCACAAAGGCAGCACTTTCTAAGCCCTTAAACCTAACCAGCACCTAAAGAAACACACACATTTCTCAGTAGCTGTTTTCTATTCACCTCATTTATAGACTCTAAGAAAAAGAATCTTGCCCACACAGAGGCAGCAGATATAAGCAAAAGCAATCGGTTACATCTTCCAGTACGTCATTAGAATCCCACCTATAGCCAGATACAAATAAAGAAGGACAAGAAAAGCCAACAAAATGTCTAATTTAATCAAAGAAGTCATTTATGCACAGAAAAAGAGGGAAAATCATTTTGAAAATATTCAAAATAAGAAAATACATGTTGTGTAAATCCATGAGGAAAATCCCTCTATTACGTGGCATTTTACCAAACATGACTTCAGAATTTGTACAAAACCTCAAGAAAACAATAAAAAGATTTGGGAAAACAATGAAGATATTGTATTGCCATCCTGAAGACACTGGGACAGGAGGGTCCCTCAATTTCAATAGTATAATTACACATTGAGTATAGGTAAACACACACACCGCATACCTATTCTACAGGAGCCCTGCATAAGATTATGCAGTGTGAAAAATGAAAGAAAACAGATATGGTGGAGTGAAGAGAACAATTCAAAGGACAGTTTGGTGCAAGAAAAACGAAGTTTTCCCGCGAAAGCAGGCACAAAGTGTGGTAGCCCTTTCAAAGTATTAGAGAAAAACAACCATTATCGCCTCACTTAGGGTTACCTAAGAAGGTTTCAGAAACAGAAAAAGTGAAGTGCTAGGGAATAAAGGTTGAGGAGGGAAGGGGAAAGAGGCAAGGGGAGAGGGTGGGAGACAGGCGGCGGGAAGCTGATGGGGAATGAGAACCTCCCTTCCAAGTTCACACGTGTGAAGAGACTGAATGGGAGGACCTGGGTGGATATGTGGAGAAAGATATGGACTGAAACTTCAGTCCCTGAAAAAAATTTCAGCCTAAGGAGCAAAGCCCGTGGAGGAAAAGTGGTAAGGAGGCGCCAATGGTCGCTTTTTTCTGGAGTGGGAGGGCCGAGGCGGCGGCTAGGGACACAGGGGAGATGAATTCCCGCCATGGGGGGCTCTATTTTGATGGACGGCAGAGGAGCAGAGGCGGCCTTTGGGGGTGGGCAAACGACAACAGCCGCGGTGCAGGCGCTGAGGTTCACAAGCTGGGGTGGACTTCTGGGCGGGCGGCGTGCTCCGGAGAGGGCCGCGGGGCGCGCTGCCCGGGGCGGGGGCGGGACGGTGTGGCCGTGGGTGTTTTCGGCGGCTGGCGCTAAGCCTGGCGACCCAGACAAGACTGGCGCGCGGGGCCCCGCTGTCTCGCCGGCCCCTACCTGTCCTCGGCGCCTCTCTGTTCTCTCGGTCGCTGGCTCGGCCTCCCGGCGCCTGCCCGCAGGTTGTCAAGCGTCCATGATCGGCCCGGTGTCCGACGTTTTTCTGCCTCCGCCGACCCGTTGCCCTTGCGGCTCCCCCGGAAGCCTCCCACCGCAGCACTCCAGTTCCGCCCACACTAGGTTCCCCCCGCTGAGTTTGCCCCCTCAGGCCTCCAGAGACGCCCCGGCCAGGGAAAGAGGCTTTCCCGGCCCGAAGAGGGCTTGTAGCCCAGGAAAGGGGTGGGAAGGAACCTGAGGAAAGGAACACAGCCTAAGCAGTACTGGGGCCCAAACCATCGCGATCACCGTCCTGGCCTGAAATCCACTCCTTTGGCTGAGCTTTAGCCTTCAAGAGCTCCCTATGTTGACTGCAGCTACCCGGGGCCACCGAGACATACATTAACAAATACCGTTTATTAAGCATTTTCCCATGTGTCAGGTGCTATACTTCGACTCACTGAATTCTCAGAATAACTCTATTGCTTGTAATATCACTCGCATTTTTCAGGTGAGTTAATTAAGCCTAAAAACCTAAAGCCTAAGTGGCAAAGTCAGCTTTGGAACCCAGACTATGTGAGGCTAAAGACCATGTTCTCGACCTCTATTTAGAAACATTTTTTTTTTTTAAATAAGCAAGAGATGAGTTGACCCAACAATGGTTCCGTGATTAAAATGGCATTCGTGTGTTGCATTTGGTACTTACCTCCCCTGGAAGATGGCTAAGAATTGCTACATAACTGAACATTTAAGCTGATTCTTTTAAAGTCTGCACCACAGGCTTTCAAGTCTTGAAATGAGGAAAATACCCGATTTGCTTTTTGCACATTTCAGTGCAGAAATCAGCTAGACAGATGCAAAGGAGCCTAGCACCAACCCATTTATTTATTCAAAAAATGTGTTTAGCACCTATTATGTTCTAGAAGGTTGTATAAAGATAAGACAAGGTTCTTGACCTCAAAAAGCTTCAATGCATTACAAGCTAGAGAGAGGTGACAATATTTTGGAAGCACAGAAAATAATGTGTTGGGGTAGAGAAAATAGGCATTTTCCAGGCAAAAAGGGGAAGAAAAGGGTGCAATGGGCATAGTCACAGAGGTTTGCACTATGCAGCATATACTGATTCAGAAAAGCAACCGAGAGTGGCTGGAACCCAGGGTCCATAGGTGAGAAATTAGGGCACCAGAAGAGAGTCAGGTCATCAAGGATCTTGGAAACCACTATACCCAGTAAAAACCCAAAGACAGCAAAGTTCCCACCTGAGAGAGTACCCTAGGAGAGCCAGGCCTGTCTGGCTATGACAGACAATTGCCACAGGCACTCTAGGGGTACCAGATAAGGCTCTCCTAACAAATGTTCTGGGGAGAGGTGATTTAACGCAGGCTTTTGGAGTAGATGAGGTTTGAGTTGAGCCTGGAAGAATGAGCAAGCAAATCACAAAGGGTGTAAGCCATGTTAAGGAGTTTTTATTTTACCTTAGGGGCACTGGGGAGCTATTTAGGATTTTTAAGCTGTGGAAGGTATGAACAATTACCACTTTAGAATGATCGCATTAGCTGTTTTAGGGATGGATTGCATGTGAAAGGAAGTAGAGGACGGGAAACTCTTGAGATGACTAATACAGTCCAGAAAAGAGATGAGATCATGAACTAAGGTAGTGGCAATTGGGCATGAAAGAGAAAGGACTGGAGACATTTAGATTATAAAATCTATCAGATTTGGTGACCAGTTGAATGCATGGATAGAGAAATAGGTTACCACTCAGGATTCTGGCGGGGGAAGGCAGAGCTCTCTGAGGTGATGTTAAGTGAATAAGGCTTCAGAAGAGAAGGGGCAAATTTGGTGGTAGAAGGAAGACAACTAAATTCTGTTTGAGTTCATAAATATCCTGGCAGTGCCTCCACTTCCTCCAGAACAATGTCTAGACTCCAAGGCTTCAGTTAAAGCCCTTTACAGTAGATCTTCCTCCTTCCCTTCCATCTTTGTCTCATCCCACCCTCTTTACAGCCCAAATCTCAGGCCTTCCTAGGCCTGAGAGGACTTACACCTTCCCTCTCTGACACCAGGGCCTATGCTTAAGCTTGCCCTCTCTTCTTTTTTGTAATACTCTTCCCTCATATTTGGCTGTTAAAATCCTAGCAACCCTGTCGGCAAAGATTTCTTAAACTCGACGCAAAAAAAGCACTAATCATAAAAGAAAATACTGAACAGCTGCTGAAGAACCATTAATAACCCCGGTGCTGAGAAACACAGGAAGCGGTTCCTTCTCATTCTCACCTTGGGCTCTGTGATTTATAGACAGGTCAACATTGAGATGAGGGGGCTCATAGACTCTTTACTCCAGGTCAGGAGATGAAATAGTTTGAAAGACAATGTATAAAATGAGAAGGAGTTTACTCCTGAGTTGGGAAACCAGAAACAAGAAGAAGCGATGATACAAACATTAATCTTTTTGCAATTTCTTTCCCAAACTGATATATACCATTTCTTCAAAACAAATGTATATCATTATCCCATTCATTTAAAATTATATATAACTTATACATACGTTAAAGGAGATAAAATTAATAGAATAAGAATACTAAAAACATGAAAAAAAGCACTGAAGTATTGCACTACATTAAAATTAAGAATTTCTATTTATCAAGACACCAGTATGAGAGTGAAAACACAAGCCACAGACTTCGAAAAGATACGTGCAAAGCATGTATCATACAAAGAACTCCATATCCAGATGATACAAAGAACTACAAATCAATACAAAGACAAAAAACCCAGTTTTAAAAGTGGGCAAAAGACAAACAAGCACCTCACAAAAGAGGACATTCAAATAGCCAACAAACCTTTGAAAGAGTGCCCAATACCACAGACAGCATAAATAAAACCTATAATGAGATACCACATTTAGCCAAAAATGGCTAAAATTAAGAAGACTGACACACCCTGTACTGACAAGGATAAGAATCTTGAGTCAGTGAGTAACTATACTTACCATGGTGACCATTTAGTAATGTATATGATTATTAAATCACTATATTGTATATCTGAAACCAATAGAATACAGTATATCAACTATATTCCAATTTAAAAAAGAGCTAGAACTCTCTTAGGTTGCTGGTGAAGGCTAAATTGATACAAACACCTTGGAAAACTGGCAATATCTATTATTGCTGATCGTATGAACACCATCCAAGCCAACAGTTCCTCTCCTAGAAATGAATGCATGAGCCCACAAAAAGAAACACATAAGAATGCTCATTTCAACTTTCTTAAAAAAAGCCAAAAAGTGATCATTGAAAACCTAAGCATCCATCAACAATAGAAGAAATAGTGCTATATACATACAATGGAATACCACTCAGAATTTTTTTAAAAGCTACCTGTTACAATATGGAGGAATCTCACAAAAATATTAATAAAAGAAAAAGCCAGATTCATGCTGTACATACTGTATGATTATATTTAAATGAAATTCAAAAACAGACAAAACTGATCTATGGTAATAAAAGTCAGAATGGTGGCTGACCAGGATGGGAGGATGCAGTACTGATCGACAAGGAGTACAAGAAGAGCTGGAGATGTTTTGTATCCTGATTTGGGGGTGGGGACACAGGTGTACACACAGGCAAAAACTGTGCCTTTATGTGCTGTTACCTTATTAACAAAAAACTTTAAGATAAAATTTTTAACACAGAAAAAAAATCCTACCTATCCTTCAAGTTCAAATGCCATCTTCTCCATCAGGTTTTGCCAGTTGGAATAAACCTCTCCATCAGAGCCTCTGTAACATTTTGATGTCCTTTCTTTTAAGCTATTTATCACAGTCCATTTTGAATTTCAGTGGAGTCTCCTTTTTCCCCTAATTACATGGCTATCTTCCTGGTGGCAGTGACAATGCCTTTCACCTTTTACAACAGAGAGCTGGACAAATAACAAAAGCTGAAAAAGCTTTTTGTTGAATTACATGGAAGGAAAAATTGGGTGGGTGCCCAGATAAGGTGAACGGGGGACAGGAAGAGGAAGGAAGGTAGGCCTAGGAAAAGAGGTAGATCTCCAAGGAAACCTTGGCTTATACAATTTTACCCAGTTCTTGAAATCACATTAAACGTCACCTTGAGCAACAAACAAAGAACAAGTCAAAACACCAAGTTCAACCTAGACTGAGATAAACATCACACTCCTTTACTTGCAGGAAATCCACCAAATAAATGCTTACCTAACCTCTGGGTGTTTCAACCTAGATGGAGAGACGACCAAGGAAAATAATAATCACAAAGCCATGCTGCTAAAAATACCTCCAACCCTAGTGTGGTGCAAAGAGCCCAGACTGCGTTTCAGGAGACTTGGGGCCGAATTCTGACTCTGCCCGAAGTTGCTGTATCCCCTGAACAATCTCTTCGCCTCTCTGGGCCTCAGTTTCCTCACATGTACAACAACAGGGGTTAGATGAGCAAATTCTCTAAATTCACTTCCTGTATTGATATTCTGAGTATATACAATCAGTTCTCTCTCCCAGTCCAACACGGGGGCACACCAGAAACCCCGGCAAAACACGAAAAAGGCGCCCCAGACCAACAACCACGATTCAAAGGAGTCAATTTGTTATACATTATCTTTTCATGGTTTAATCAGTGGTTCTGTTTGTTAGCAGCCTTACCATGATCTGCAGGAAATTTCTGAGTTCCATGTAAACAGAAGTTACCTCTCTGTGGGCTGTCATCTTCTTTTGAGGGTGAAGAGGGTCTTCCCACACAGTTTCAAGTCTCCGGATTCAGAAACCACCAAACCTGAAGGAGAGTTTAGGAATTTGCGCACACTGAGCGGCACACTGTAGTCTAAGTTCCAGAGGAATGGGGTGCAGGGAATTCTGGGATTTGTAGTCCCTGGGCCTCTCTTGCGTGCTGGGATCTGTGGTTCCCCCCAGCGAGCCCCTGGGACAGTGGGAAATGTAGTCTCTGTCACATCGCACAGAGCAACCCGCCGTCATCTCAGAGCCCTAGTGTGCCCAGCGGCGGGAGCGGGCCACTCGAGCCTCGGCAGAGCTGAAGCCATCCCTCCGCTGGGGCAAACACTAGGCAACAGCGCCGAATGAAAAATTTGTCCTACGGGACTTCCCGGGGAGGGCCCTTCCCATTGACGCTCTTCGTTCCCTGCGAAGCCGCTGAGTGTTTCTATTGGCTAATCAGTATGCCAATCCCCAAGGCGGGCTTTCCATTGGCCTCGGGAAGGGCGCTCCGAGGCCAGGGGCAAGGAGAAGGGATCAGGAGCGGGAGCTGAGGGGAGGGAGAGGCCGGTCCGGGTCTGGCCGCTGCCGCTGCTCGCTCGAGGTCTCCAGGCCCGCTTGTGGCTCTGTCCTCGGCTTCTGGGCACCGTCTGGGAAGCTCCGCCGGGCCAGCGAGGGACAGCCGCGCGCGGCGGCCGCCGCATCATGTCAGCCAAGGACGAGCGGGCCAGAGAGATCCTGAGGGGCTTCAAACTGTATCCGCCCGGGAGCGGGGCGGGGCCGGGAGGATTTGGGAGGCGGCCGCTTGCTGAGGAGACTGGCCGGGGGCGGGGGCCGCTCCAGGTGGGCACCTGGGGAGGAAAGGCACGGCGTCCCGGGCCCGCGGCGGGACCCGGCGCTGCAGGCGGGGAAAGGGGCGTCCTGAGGGAGGAAGGGGACACTGACAGCAGCCCCGGGATGTGGAGGTGGAGGAGCCCCGGAATGGGTTTGGGAGAGACGCCGGGAGTCGGAAACCGGTGTAGGGAGGCCAGCTTGGGTCCGAGCTCCGGCCCGCACCCAGAGGCCGGGAGGGGGCAGCGGCCCGCAGTGGGTCGGCCCAGCCGCTGCTTTGGTGGGAAGCCCCCGGCCCACGGGGGCGCGCAGGGAAACGTGACTTGGAGTGAGTGACCGTGTGGGGGGCAAGCGCCAAGCTTGCGTGGGACTCCCTCGGGTGCCCTCATCGTCCCACCCCCATCTTGTTTCCACAACTTCTCCGCCTCACTTGTGGCTTCTTCCAGGGCTGGAGCAGAGGAAGGTGGGGAACGAGGAATCCGAGTTGGACCTCATCTTAGCTCTGTCTTGGCCTTTTGAGCATTGGATACGGTCGCTGCTTCTCCCTCAGCCCCACAGTTTACTTTCCAGCGAAATGAGGACCCTAAACTTGTGCGTGAGGTGCCTTGAGGTGTTTTGGTCTTGCACCGGGACTTCTGGCAAAGGTATCTTGACTCACTCGCCTTTGTTCGGTTAACGCGGAGACTCGATGGAGCTGTCCAGCAATTATTTGATTTCGTGGGTGATACGGTAGGATTTAGTCGGATGTAGACATCAGTGCCTCAGGCCTCGTGGTGCCGCTCATGCCGCCTTCCACCCCTAAGGTAGTGAAGAAGCCTCGTGTTTTAGCGGAGTGTCGTCTGTACCCATATGATTCTGATGAAAAAACGCAATCTTGTACATTCCGATTTTACATTTTCTTGCTGAGCTTAATCTGTTTTTACATCTTATTCATACAATATGGAACATTCTTAAATCCCTCTCTCAGGGAAAATGTGTAGTCATCACTTTAGGACTCCTTCCCTGGAGGTTTGGTAAAGCGCTGTTCTCCGAAGTGCCTGTGTGTTTTCATGCCCATTTCACCTCTGCAAATGTTAATTGCTTTGTCACAATCAGAAACCAAGTTGGTAGTAAATTTTAAAACACAACCTGCAAAAAAGTTACAGGAAGTTTTGGGTGTGCATGAAAATTTTCAACTAGAAGCTGACCTATGCCTTTTTAATGACAACAGAAGGCATTCTCACCTTTGCCTGTGGACGTACATGATAAACTTTCAGTACTTTTATGTAGTGAGGTTTAGTAACAGCGTCTTTTATATCTTCATGTGCCTTTCCCTGTTTCTTCTCATAATGGTGCCTGTAAGTAGATAAGGACAGCTGAAGATTTGGAAAGCTATGACATGGATTTTATTTTTCCACTAAGTTGTTTATATTGTTGCTTAACATGTATGCTGTAGACAGTAAAATGGAGACTGAAGAATTGAGAGATTTCAGAAGCAATGTCTGTCTGATAGGAATTGACATATTGCTGAAAACAAGAGTCTTTTAAGTGACTTGAATAAAACAAAGGGAAAGTTTGAACTCACCTTTAGTCTTAGCTCTTCAACCTGTTGAGAAAGAGGCTAAGGGACAAATATGGAAAAGAGTAGAAAGCAGAACTGCATCAGCCCACTAGAAGGGAAGGTGAATTAACCAATGCAGTGAGGATGTTAGTGTATCAAGAAACAGGCTTTCAGGGAAAGTTTGACCTGTGCTGATTAATCACGAGGAAAGCAGCCACGTAAAAAAGTTAGCATGGGAGCAATGGGGTGCTCATCGTCTCATAGCCTTATTGGCACCCAAGGGTTAAGAGACAGAAGGAAAGGAGTTCCAGAATTTGGTACTACCTTCAGGAAAAAATTATACTAATGTTTTAGCAAGAAATTACCTATTGTCTACCTTTTATTGGGTAACTTGTTTTTCTGAACTTTATTTCAGAGTATGTATTTCTGTAAGAAAAGTTTTTACTACAAAACAAAAATGCTGTTACATTCTCCTATCAACAGTGTTGACAATACTCATTTTCCACATTGACTGTGTGGGTCTTTTTTATTTTTGCCTATTTGGACAACAAATGATATCTTGTTTTAATTTGTATATCCCTGAATACCTAGATCCCTGGAGAGGTAATATAGCATAGCAGTTAGAGTTGAAACTGAACTATAGAGTCTTAACTGCCTGTATTGGAATATCAGCCATGTACTCCTGGTTGTGTGTTCCTGAGCAACTTTAACCTCTGCCTCAATTTCCTCATCTGTAAATGGGGATTGTTGTGAAGTTTAAACGAGTTGATATCTAAAGCATTTAGAAAAGCACGTGTTACCTAATAAGCATTATGTACTAGCTATTATTGTTCTCAGAGAAATTCCAAAATCTTATGTTTGACCATTTATCTTCTGAGTTGCTTGTTAATTTTGCCTTTGCTCATTTTACCATTGAATCATTTACTTTTCTTATTGCTTTGTATGTGTTTTTCATTTTGATTTCAATCCTTTGCCTGTTATATATGTGGCAAATATTTTCTCTCAATGTATTGCTTGTCTCCTTTTTTGTTGAAAACTTTAAGTTATCATTTCAGATTCATCAGTATTTTCCATGTGGTTTCTACATTTTGTGTCTTACTTAAAAGAACTTCCTTATCCCAAATTTAATTAAATATTCTCTGTGTTTTCTTGTCTTTTTAATGTTTAGCTCTTAAATCTACCTGGAATGTATACACACATGGTATGTGATAGAAATCTAACTTCTGCTATGTGGGTAGCCAGTTGTCCCAGTACTATTTACCACCGTTTTGAAATGCTATCTTTGTCATATACTAAATTTCCATAAGACATGGGTTTATTTCTTAACTAGTTCTGTTTCATTGATCCATTTGTCTCTTCCTGTGCCTGTGCACATTGGTTTAATTATTACAGTTTAATGATATGATTTAGTATAGCTTACAATAGGATTAATATGTCGTGAACAGAATGTATGTGTTTAAAGTCATAGTGTAAGGTCCCTATGTATATTTGTGTCCCTTTCATACACATAGAATCTTGCCATATGCCCGTAATAGAGATTCAGTAAGTATGAATAACATACTTCATAAATCAGGGATAATTTTGTGTCTCAGAGAATTCAGTGTAAGCTTTTGTATTTGCCATAATTTATTTCAAAAATAAAATATTTGTAAGATTTCTTTCTTGTATCACATCTATCCCACCCCCTTCCAACTCATGCACATTAGGTGTATTATATTTGTTTCTTGTTTGTTGGAAGTATAACATTTCCTAATTGAAAATTAAAGTTATTAATAAAATATTAACCTGGAGAACAAATGTGATTCTCCTGCAAAGGTTTTGAATTTGAGTATTTTAAGAAGCCGATACAGAGATTGTGTTTGTGAATATATGTTCCCCATTTCATTCATTCAACAAATGTCTGTTAGGGGACTTCTGTACAGGGCACTGTGTACTTGAAGGATACAAAAGTGACTAAGCCACAATCCCTTCTTTCCAGTAGCTTAATCATCCTTATGTCTTTTTAGAAGGGATATCTTCAAAAGCAGTGTATTTTTAAAAATAGTATTTAACTTTTCTATTATAAATTCCAGCCACTTAGGAGGGATCTTTGTTAATATTTTAATATAACCTTCTAATTAGCTAAATCATTTGCTCTTAAAAAAAATAAGTATTACTTTGTAACTTACTTTTTTCACTTAATAATATATTTACCATCTTCATAACTTACTTTTTTCACTTAATAATATATTTACCATCTTCATAATTTCCAAAGATGGTTACTTTCAGTTGCTTTCCATGATCATAGATTTGTCAGAATTCTCTTACACTAGTCTTTTAGTATCATCTGTAATGCACTGTTCTATTTGAATCACTTTTCCTCAACATAAATATGTAACTTTATAAATTAATATCAATAAACTGGCAACTGCCTTAAGAAAGGATTATGCTTTTATGATTTCACTATTTTAATCCATCTGGAATTTGCTTTGTTATAAGGTATGAAGTAGTGATTTAACTTTTTTTGAAGATCACCTAATTTTCCCCATTTGTTTATATGTGTGCTTGTACTCCAGATGTTAATATAACATCCAGAATATAAATGGCTGCCTACAAATCAATAAGATAAATATTTAACTCAAAATAGGCAAAGGATATGAACAAACAGTTCACAGAAGAAAAATACAAATGACCAATGAATAAATTGAGGTGTTCAACCTTATTAAAACAACAAACTATCCCTTTCTTCTCAATTAATTAGCAAAAATTTCAAAGACTGATAATATCAGTTGACAGCTATTTGGGGAAAGGACACTTCATTTGCTCTGTATGTGTGTATGTGTGTGTGTAGACATTATGGAGAGTAATTGGTATCTATCAAAAGCTTTTATGTAACTGCAGTAGAGCATGGAGCACTGACAAGAGCATGGACTCTAGGTTCAGACATACTGCCTCCACCATTGTGACCCTAGACGGCACTGAAACTTTGAATGTCAGTACCTATATCATTTCCTCAAATGGTTGTTAAGAGAATTAAGTAAGACTGCATATGAAGCTTAGTGTGGTGCCTGGCACATAGTGAAAAATGCTAACTGCTGTTATTGTTTTATTAATAATTATTAATATATTAATAACAATAATGTTAGTATGACTGTAAAGCCACTTACTTTTCTGAGATATAGCCAGTGCCTTCATACTAGTATTCTTTTCTTATTGAGAAACTATAATATTGCTGTTTCGCCTCTTTGAAGAAATGATTCAACTAATAAGCATTGATATATGTTTAGTGTTTATCTTGTTTTCTGGGAACTAATTACATTCCAATTTATGACAGGTTAGCAAAAAAAGAACTAGTTTGGCTCAGAATTTTTCTGAAAACACTTTTCACTTGTGCTCTTGCATTTC